CCGCACCGGGACCGGGGGCGCGCGCGGGGAGCGGGGGGGGGGGGGGGGGGCGGGGGGGACGGAGGGGGTGCGATCGCGAGAGCCGCGAGGCGTTACCATGGCGACGGATGCAGCAGTGCGGGGCGGGGGGGGCTCTGAGGGGGGGTCCCGGTGTCGTTCCCCGCCCACACCCCCCGCCGTGAGCCCCTCCACTTCGGGGGGACCCGCACCGGGGGTCGGGATGGGGTGGTGGGGAGCGGGGGGGTCCCGGTGCTTCCCCCCCGCTCCGTGCGCACCGGGGAGGCAGAACCCCGTCCGACCCCGGCGTGCCCTGTGCTTCACGGGGGGGCGGGGACCCCAAAACGTCACGGGGGTCCCGGGGACGCTCCCCCCCCATACGGGAACCCCGGGCCAGGCTGAGCCCGCCCGCGCCGTCCCGGTACCGGCTGTAACGAGGCCGTCCCGGTGCTCACGGACAGGGCAGGGACTGGCAGCGGGTGCGGTGGACCCCCGGGTCCCCCTCCACGTCCGTATGTCCCCGTTGTCCGTCCGTCCGCCCCTGCCTGGTGCGACGGGACGGGACGGGCGCCCCGGCCCCCGGACCGGTACCGGCGGCCACCCTGAGGGCACCGGCAGCACCGACCGCCCCGACGGCTGCGGGAACGGCTCCACCGAACCCCTGGCGCTGGGGGCGGTTCCCGAGCATCGCCCTTCGGGCCGCCGTCGGGTCGCAGCAGAGGGGATGGGGGGCAACGGGGCCTCGGGACAGCGGGCAGGGGGTTCGGGGGGTCCGGAGGTCCCGGAGAATCCCGGGATGTAGCGGGGGAGGCGCGGGCCGTGTTTGGGCCCCGCCGCTGGTGGCACAACCCCGGGCAGGGCCCTCTCGGCCGCGCCCCGGGGCCTCCCCGCGGCCGCTGACCTCAGCCCCGGGAGCCCCGACGGGGCGGCGGCCGGAGGGCGCGGACACGGCCCGGCCCGGCCGGGAACCGGGGCGGGGGGAGGCGGGAGAGCCGTCCTGGATCAGACCCCGGGGCGGCCCTGGGCCCCTGCCGGGCCGGGGGAGGGGGTGCGGGGGGTGCCCGGCGCGAGCCCCCCGCCGCCGCCGTCCCGGGCTTTGTCCGTCCCTGAATTGAACTGATGAGCGGCGGCCCCGGGCCGTGACGGGCGAGCGGGGCTAATCCGGCCCCGCATGACTGGTCCGGGGAAACCGCGGCGGGGGGATTACACCCCCCGGGCCCCGCCCCAACGGGGGGCTCAGCTCAGCCCCCCCGGCCCGCCCGGCTCCGCACCGGGGACTTCACACCCGCCCGGGGACAGCGGGGAGAGAGCCTTGTCCCAGCCAAGACCGGGCCACCAGCACCAGCCCTCCGTGACCGTGTCCTGGCCGTGGGCACCCCGGACCGCCCCCCCCTGCGTCCGGGCACCCCCTGCCCTTCATTCTTCTGTCTCCCTCAGTCCCTCCGTCCCCCCTGTTCATCCACCCCTCTGACACACCCGGTACCGGCCCAGACCGGGCGCCCCGGGGCAGCGGGGGCCGTGCGGGGCCGTGCCGCGCCCACGCGGGTTGTGCATTCCGTAGGTGTCCACGGGCACGTTCACGAGGGTGCGGGGTGCCGCCAGGACAGCCCGGGACAGCCCGGGACAGCCCGGGCCCGGCGAGGGACGCGGCCGTCCTGTCGCGCCGGGCACGGATCGGGACGGGAGGGGGATCTGGGGGCTCCGGACCGGCACCGTCACCAACGCGGCTCCGGTGGTCCTACGTCCCGGGGCGCTGCACGTCCTGTCCCCCGCAAAGCCGGTGGCCCCTGAATTCTGCCTCCCCCGTGCGCCCGGGGCTGTCCCGGGAGATCCCGTCACTCCACCTCCCTGTGCATCCCGGGCTGTCCCGGGAGATCCCGGGCTATCCCCGTTCCCCACTCCCTCCGTACGCCCGGAGCCGTCCCGGGCCGTCCCGGGCTATTCCGGAACCGGCTCCTCCTTGAGCCGGGAGCTGTCGCGGGTCGCGCTGGGCTCCCCCCGCCGGTGCCGGTAGAGCGTGTGCGAGGGGCGGCGGGGAGGGCGGGGGACGGCAGCCGGGGGCTCTGGGCACGGGGCCGGGGCGCAGCCACCCGCCGGGCTAATCCGGCCCGTGACGGACAGCCCCGGCGCCGCCGCTCCCGCCGCCCCGTAAGAGGTGCCGCGGCTCCGCCGCTCCCCATTGTTAGGGCGAGGACGCGGGGAGGCCCCGCGCGGCGGGACCGGCCCACGGGGACCCTCCGCGCCGCCCCTATAAGAGGGAAGGGGCTGGAAGATGCTCCCGGGTGCTGAGCGCTGCGCACCCGCCGCGCCGAGCCGAGTCCAGCCGGGCCGCCTCTCCGGGGAGCCGCCGGCACCGAGCACCGGGCACCGGGTCCCGCGAACGGACCGCAGAGAACCGGTACCGACACCGGGTACCGCGCCCGGACTGCCGAGCGCCGGGTCTGCAGCGGCGGCACCGCGCACGGAGCGCCCGACGCCGCGCTCCGGGGACCGGGCGGGGAGCGCCGGGCACCGCACCCCCGACGCCGCGCCCCGGCCACCGGCTGCACCCCTGTGCCGGTGCCGGTGCCGACCCGCCCGCCCGGCGCTCCCCGCGTCCCCCCGCGGCCGTCCTGATCTCGGAGCCGCCCCGCGCGTCCGGAAACACGCGTGGATGTAGCGGCCGGGCCGGGGGCTCCGCGGCACCATAAATACCGGGACGGCCGCTCGCCCGCGCACTCTGCCGGGGCTCCCGGGGCCGGAGCCATGCGCGCGGCCGCGCTGGGGCTGGCGCTCCGGGCGCTCTGGGCTCTGGCCCTCTCCTCCCTCTCCAACACGCTGGCGGTGAACAACAGCGGGCGGTGGTGGTGAGTCCGACAGCACCGGCACCGGCACCGGTACCAGTACCGGGGCATTGGAGTGGGAAAGAGGGGCTGGCACCGGCGCAGCAGCAGCGGCCCCGTACCCAGGGATGGGGCACATGGAGGGACACAGGGCTGCGATCCCCGGGGTGGGATCCCTGCGGGGGATACCCGGGGAGGAGGATGCTCCAGTAGTATCAAGGAGTCCCCAGGGAGGTTGAGGTGAGGAGGGAGACGCCGGGGACCCCCCCGCTGGTGGTCACCGTCCCCACCTGTGCCACAGGGGCATCATCAACGTGGCCTCGTCCACCAACCTGCTGACGGACTCCAAGAACGTGCAGCTGGTGCTGGACCCCAGCCTGCAGCTGCTGAGCCGCAAGCAGCGCAAGCTGATCCGGCAGAACCCCGGCATCCTGCACAGCGTCAGCTCCGGCCTCCAGACAGCCATCAAGGAGTGCAAGTGGCAGTTCCGCAACCGCCGCTGGAACTGTCCCACCTCGCAGGGCCCCAACATCTTCGGCAAAATCGTCAACCGGGGTGAGGCTGCAGGGGCAGCACGGGGGGCCCCCAACCCCTTCCGTGCACCCCCGAGCCGGGATGCTCGGCAAAGCGCCCCTGGTTTGCCGTGGGGCGTCACCAGCCTGTCGTGGTGGAGGGCTGGGGGTGCTGCTGGGTGCCCCCTCCCCACCCTGGCAGCACCCTGAGGCCCCGCTCCCCCCCGCAGGCTGCCGGGAGACGGCGTTCATCTTTGCCATCACCAGCGCCGGCGTGACGCACTCGGTGGCCCGGTCGTGCTCCGAGGGGTCCATCGAGTCCTGCACCTGCGACTACCGGCGCCGTGGCCCCGGGGGGCCCGACTGGCACTGGGGGGGCTGCAGCGACAACATCGACTTCGGGCGCCTCTTCGGGAGGGAGTTCGTGGACTCCAGCGAGAAGGGCCGAGACCTGCGTTTCCTCATGAACCTGCACAACAACGAGGCTGGGCGCATGGTGAGGGCACCAGGGGCATGGTGGGGGCACCAGGGGCATGGTGAGGGCATGCCCTGAGGGGCTTCAGGCAGCACTGGTGTGGGCACTGGGATGGGCACGGCCACCGAGCCACCCAGCCTGTCCCCGTGTGCGGGTTGGGAACTGTCAGAGGCGAGTCTCCCGCTTGGCTTTGGGAGGCTGAGCACGATGTGACGCTGTGGGGAAATGGGGTGCAGGAGCTCCGTGGTCCTCGGGGTGGGCAGGGGGGTTCCAGGCTGCTCACAGCACCCCAAACTCCCCCTCTTCCCTTCCAGACGGTCTTCTCGGAGATGCGCCAGGAGTGCAAGTGCCACGGCATGTCGGGCTCCTGCACCGTCCGCACCTGCTGGATGCGGCTGCCCACCTTCCGCGCCGTGGGCGACGTCCTGAAGGATCGCTTCGACGGCGCCTCCCGTGTCATCTACGGCAACAAGGGCAGCAACCGGGCGTCGCGGGTGGAGCTGCACCACCTGGAGCCCGAGAACCCGGCCCACAAGCCGCCCTCGCCCCACGACCTCGTCTACTTCGAGAAGTCCCCCAATTTCTGCACCTACAGCGGGAAGACGGGCACGGCGGGCACGGCGGGGAGGTTCTGCAACAGCTCCTCGCCGGGGCTGGACGGGTGCGAGCTGCTGTGCTGCGGGCGCGGGTACCGCACGCGCACCCAGCGCGTCACCGAGCGCTGCAACTGCACCTTCCACTGGTGCTGCCACGTCAGCTGCCTCAACTGCACCAACACCCAGGTGCTGCACGAGTGTCTGTGACCCCCCCCGACCGCCCGGGACCGCCCTGCCCAGCCCCGGAGGGGGTCTGCGCCACACACCCCCCATGATGGGTGCCCGGTTGGATTGGAGGCGCCCGTGGGCGAGGGTATGGATGTGCCCCCCAGGGACCCCCATCCTGCCACGGGTGGGCTCGGTGCCACGCACCTTCCCGGCCACCCCCCGGCTCCACGGGGTCCCCTTCTCGCTGTAAATAAAATATTTATTGTGGACGGTTTGACGCCGTCGCCCCCTCCCCGCTTCGCTGGCCCCAGGCCCTGGTTTTTGTAATTAAAGAAAATAATAATTAATAATAATTAATAATAATGATGCTTTGTTACAGGTGTCACTGATAGCCTTTAGAGAAGAATAAAGGATATATTTTTATCAGTCCTGACCTGATCCGTGTCTGGGGGGGCTGAGGAAGGGAGGCTACAAGCTTGGGGAGGGGGGACACCAATGGCCCCCACACTGTGGGGTCTGCTGCCCACGTCCATCTGTCCATCCATCACCTCTCCACCTCCTCACCTCCCGATTCCGTGTCCATCAACCCCTCCAGCCGCTGTCTGTCCATCCTTCTCCTCCTTCCCTCCCGTCTCCGCCATCCCCTCCCCTCAGACCCCCTTCTTTCTCCCGCTGTGCCCGTCTCCAGCCCAGCCATCCCGGCGGGTCCCTCGGCAGGGCTGGGGCGCCCATCACCATGGCACCTGGGCCGCGGCATCTCTGGCGCTGGAATTCGCCGGGGCGGCGGGGCTGGTGCCGCCGAGGCCGGGCGTTGGGAGCGGCCCCGGGAGGTACAAGACGGCAGACAGGGAATGAGCATCGTCCATCACCGCTCCCGGCCGGGGCTGACGGCTCCCCTCGGCTCCGGGGGAGGAGGGGGGCCGGGGAGGGCACCGGGGTTACCGGGGCGGGGGCCAAAGGGGTCGGGGATGGCCACTGGCCCCACACACAGCCCCGCATCCGTGTGTGGGGTCTGGCCACAGCCAGAGAAAGGCTGTGGCAAAGGTGGGGTGCAGTCCTGTGGCTGGCAGGTGTCCTGCTGGCACGGGTATCCCCTTGGGATGGGCATCCCTTTGGGATGGACTTCCCTCCGAGATGGGTATCCCACTGGGACAGGCATCCCAGCAGAATGAGCATCCCCTTGGGACAGTCATCCCACTGGAACGGGCATCCCACTGGAATGGGCATCCCACTGGAACGGGCACCCCCTTAGGACGAGAATCCCACTGGGTGCACATCACCCTGGGGTGTGTTTTCCCCTGGGCTAAGCATCCCACAAGGGGTGGGCATAGCCCCAGGATGGGCATCCTTGTGGAGGGCATCGCTCTGGGACAGGTATCCCACCGGGATGGGTTTCCCACCAGGGTGGGTATCCCCTGGGACAGGCACCCCTGGGCTTGGCACAGGGCCCACATCCCCTCCCCGCCCTGTGTCGTCACATCTTGGGCACCTCACAACCCGCGTGTCCGGGGGACCCCCAGCCTGGTGTCCACCTGCCCCGGGCAGGTCCCCGCAGCCCGGGCTGCCCTCCGGAGCCGGGAACCTCGCGGGGCCCCCGGGGCTCCGCCGCATCAAAGGCTGCGGGGATGACGCTGCCACCACCCGAAATATCCCGCGGAGCCGATAGTGGAAAAGTTGATGTTTAGACGCAGAGGAGGGGGGGGGGGAAAAACACCCCGGGGGCCCCCGCTGCCCGCGCCAAGGTCAAAACACAGCCCAGCGTGGGGAATAAAACACCGAAATGCGAGGAAAACGCCTGGAAAGGAACACAGCCCGAAATAACCCTCCGAGCATCTCCCGCCTGCCGGGTTATCTGCCTGCTAAATTCTGCTCCTGCCCCGGCATGAAAATAGCCTGTTTTCCTGCGGTAGGAGTCAGGAATATAGATAATGACATTCTTATAAGTCACCTCTGTTACTCAGCTTTTCCTGCGGGTCGGTGACCGCCGGGCACCTCGGGCAGCCGCGACCCCCGGGCGGGCAGGGGCACCCCGGGCACAGGGCACAGACCTCCCCGGCTTGGACAAATATTCCTGGGTGCTGGAAATAGCTGCTGTGGGCCGGTGCAGGGACAGGGACAGGGACAGGAACAGGGACAGGGCGGTCCTGCCCGGTGCCAGCCTGTCACATCTGGGAAGCCAAGTAGCAGCTGGATGGTGGCCACAAGCTGGGCCTGAGGAGGGCTGGGACACCCCCCCAGCAGGGGTGGGGTGCAGGGGGGCTCTGCCTGGGGGCGTGGGACAAAGGGACAGGACAGTGACCAGAGGTGCAGGACAGAGGGACAGAGCCATGCCTAGAGATGCAGGACAGAGGGATAGGACAGTACCCAGGGTTGCAGGACAGAGGGACAGAGATGCTCCCAGAAATGCAGGACAGAGGGACAGGATGGTGACCAAAGTTTCAGGTCAGAGGGACAGGATGACACACGGAGGTGCAGGACAGAGGGACAGAGCCATGCCCAGGGGTGCAGGACAGAGGGATGGTGTTCAGGACAAAAGGTCAGGACGGTGCCCAGAGGTGCAGGGCAGAGGGATGGGACAGTGCCCAGTGCCCAGAGCTGCAGGACAGGCAGAGCTGTGCCCTCCTGCACCGACTGTCTGGTGGCCCCATCCCACCTTGCAGGACCGTCCCCATCCCGTCCTGTCCCCACGGCCAGCGGCACAGCCCCGTCCCCGCTCCCCTCGCCTCCGGTCGGCGCGGACCCACGTCCCGCCCGCTCCCGGCTTGTCCGGCCGCCCCCTCCCATCCGCCGCATTCCTCCGGCGCGGGGCCAACGCGCCCAGCAACGGTGGCAGCGCTGGCCTCTAATCCCCGGGCATGCCAGCCCCGGGGGGACCGTCGCCGTCACCCACTCCCTGATAGGTGACCAATGCCCGAGACGAACAATTAGGGACAAAGCGGAGCCGCCGGGGGCTAACGCCGGCCTTCACGGGTGCCTTGTGCGGCATTCGGCGGGTTTAATGAATTGTCCATCAATCCTTTCAGCTCCGCTCGCCCGGGCTGGATTAATCTGAGAAGCCGCAGTGGGGAAGGAGCCGCTAAGCCTGTATTTATTACTCTGCCATTGTAACTAATTGAGGTAATTATCTGTGACTCCAACCCCGCGCAACAATGCCGCATTCACCGGACCCTTCCCACCGGCTCCTCGCGCGGCCTGGGAGAGCCGGCACCGCGGGCAGGATGCGGGGACGCGGCGGGGATGGTGGGATGGGGACGGGCAGGGATGCGGCGTGGCTGGCACCGCGGCTGACACTGTGGGCACACGGACAGTGCTGAGGGCACCCGTGCGTTGTGGCGTGGCCGGTGCCAGCTGCACACGCGGGTCACGGCTCTGCAGGGACACCAACAGCGCTGGCACATCCGTGGGCACAGATCTCAGGACACCAGTGGCACCAGTGGCACGCGAGGGTCACGGCTCTCGGACACCACCAGCATCCAGACACACGCGGGCCACAGTTCCTCGGGAACGCGGCCAGCACCGGCACATACATGACCACAGCTCTCTGGGGACAGTGCCAGCACCGGTGACACGTGTGGGTCACGGCTTTCTGGGGACACCAACACACACATGCCCGTAACACCCTGGGGACAACCGCCAGCACCAGTGACACCCGCGGGTCACGACTGGCTGGGGATACCAGTCCCCAGGTGACACCGCCAGCCCCGGTGACACATGAGGGTCAGGGCTCTCTGGGGACAATGCCAGCCCCGGTGACACATGAGGGTCAGAGCTCTCTGGGGACAATGCCAGCCCCGGTGACACATGAGGGTCAGGGCTCTCTGGGGACACCACTGTCACCGGTGACACACGGGGCTGTCGTGACTCTCAGACAGCAGCGGCACCGGTGACACGCGTGGCTCACGGTTCCCTGGGGACACCGGCGACGGTCCCGGGGCAGGACCCGGTGCCCCTCCGGTGCCCCCCCGGTGCCCCCCGGGGCTGTCGGTCACCGGCTGCGCGGCGACATCTGGCGGCCGCGGGCGACACCGCGCCCCGGTCCGGGGGCACCGGTACCGGGGGGACCCCCCGGTGCCACGCGCGGGCACCCCACGGGCCGAGCCCCCCGCGGGGGGGGTCTGGGGGGCGGCGGGTGCCCGGGGGGTGCCGGGGGGGCGGTGCTGGCGCCGGCGCAGCCCGAATTAGAAGGTGATTTTCCCGGCGGGGAGCGGGTTTGGGCAGGAGTTGATCCCACGGGAGGGGCCGCGCCGCTGCCCCCGCGTCTGGGACACCCCGCGCCACGCCGGGCAGGGCGCCGAGCCGAGCCGTGACGTGCTGTGCCGAGCCGTGCCAGGCTATGCCAGCCTGTGCCAGGCTGCAACGAGCTGTGCTGGGCTGTGAAGGGCTTTGCCAAGCCGTGCGGGGCCGTGTTGTGCCGAGCTGAGCCGTGACAGGCTACATCAGGCTGTGCCAAGGTGTGCCAAGCGGTGATGTGCTGTGCCAAGCAGGCTGGGCCGAGCTCTTCTGGGCTCTTCAGGGCTTTGCTGAGCTGGGCTGGGCTGTGCTGAGCCGTGCCAGGCTGTTGTGCCGTGGTGAGCCATGCCAAGCTGTGCCAGCCGTCCTGTGCCATGCCAGGCCACCCCGTGCCATGCCAGGCCATCCCGTGCCATGCCAGGCCGAGCTGTGCCATGCCAGGCCGAGCCGTGCCAGGTGCCACTGCAGCACCACGGCTGTGCCGTGCTGGGCTGAGGTCACCGTCGGGGCTGGGGTCAGGCCCCGCTGTGGGACGTGCCAGGACGGGGGACACACGGGGTGACGTGGCCCTGGGGGTGCCCCCCCTGGCCGCGGGTCCCCCCCGGCTGCCCCGCGCCGTGACCTCCGGGCCGGTGTCACCGCGATAATGACAGGGTCGCGCAGGGGGGCGGGGGAGGAGCCGGTTTTAAATAACGTGCAAATTGGACACGATATTTGTGCGGTTTCCTGGGGCCGGGGGGATCCTCCCCCCCCAGCAGCGTGACTAAGAGGTGGTGGCCGCTCGGGGGGGGGACGGCACCCCCCCGGTG